GATCATTTTTTTGCTGGAATTTGGTTTCTGGGAAGCCTCCCTTGACATTGCCCCCACGCACAGTGTCCTGTGCCTCCTGCGGGGTCTGGGCCCTGCTCACCCGCCACCATGTTCAGGGGCTTGTCTGCGGCCTTCAGAAGCCACAGTGGACAAGGGGCCACAGTCTTGGCCTGGGCAATGGCCACTTAATTTTCCTTCCAGATTCTTCATATCTATGCTGCTTAAATTAGTGGGTCAGTTGCAAATCTTCTGGGTTAAGCCAGAAATTGCTTTTATGTTGAAAGTTGTTTTCTGAAGAATGTGTTGACCACCAGCCACACGTGGCTGTTCAAATGTAAGACCAGCCGGGTGCGGTGGCTCATGCCTATAATCCCAGCACTTTGGGAGACCAAGGTGAGAGGATTGCCGGAGCCCACGGGTTCGGGACCAGCCTGGGCAACTTGGTGAGACCTCATCTCTACAATAAATCAAAAAACTAGCCGGGCATGGTAGCGCGCGCCTGTAGTTCCAGCTACTTGGAAGGCTGAGGCAGAAAGATCGCCTGAGCCCAGCAGGTCGAGGCTGCAGTGGCTGTGACAGAGTGAGACTTTGATTCAAAAAAAAAAAAAATTAAATAAATAAATGTAAGGCCCTTGGCCACAAGCCCAACCCAGGTGCTCGGTGACCGCACGAAGCTGAGCTTTCTGTCACTGCAGTGAGGCCCTAGTTAACAGCTCTTTGGCTTTTGGTCTTTTAAATTTCTCTGACAGTTTTCAAGTCTCAATTGTAGTATCTTGGAGCTCTTGTTGCAGTGTCAGAAACTTACCCACCACTCCCCAGGTTGCTTCAGCACAAAGTGCTGAGCTCGTGTCCCAAGCTGGGAGGCAGTACAGCACTTTCCAGGCCGCAGATGACGGAGGATTCCTACCACCCTGGTCCATAGGTTGGCCTGGCTTGGTCACGCTTCTCCCACGAGAGCCTGTAGCTGGGGAGGGCAGGATGCCCTGGCCTATCCCCGGGCTCCAGGTAGAGTGAACATCCTCCAGCATGCATGGGTTGGGAGGTCAGACAGGGCATGCATGGGAGCAGGTTCCGGGTGCAGAAGGGGCAGCCCACTGCCTGTCCACACAGCCCTGCCTGCGTTTTCTGAGAGCTTCATGGTTGTGATTACGAGTGTCCATGAGAAACACTGCCCACACCTGATGTCACCTGAGTACTTCTTGAACCTGTCCCCACCCTCTCACTGGGTGCTCAGAAATGCCTCCAGCAGAGGTTGGAGGGGCTGCCTATGCACCCTGCACTCTTCCCTCACTCGAGGTGGCAGGCCAAGACCATAGGATCCTTGGGGTCAGAGCCCCTTGTGCAGTCCTCCGGCCTACCAGAGCCGGCCGCTGGTGCTTTGTTAGTGCATCCAGGTTGAGCCTCCAGCCCAGGTGGCCCACTCACGGCCCCTCCCTCTCACCTTGGCGACAGTGAGGTAGACAGTGCATCTCAATGGACTACGTCTGTCCTGACGCTTTCAGGGTGGGCAGCACAGACCCCAGAGCCAAGCTATGTGGACTTGCATCGCAGCCCCCTACTCGCTGTGACATGGCCTTGGGGGAGCTGTGTGTGACCTTGGAGCATCATCGATACCCCTAGTGGTGAGGTGTGTCATGCACTGTCTCTGCAAGAGAAAAACGCCCCCACTCCTGGTCAGCTGTGCAGAGGCGGGCGTGCGCAGGGCAGTGTCCTGGTGCATGTGGGCAGAGCACTTATGACGGCTGACCCTGTGAGACTCCGCACTGGGTAGCTGCTGTCTGGCATATGGTATTTGTTATCCCTAATTTTTTTCTCAAGTCTAATTACTGGGTTTTTAAATATCATGTTAGTACTTTAAAGCTGGGGGAAAAAATCCAGTAAGGTCAACACAATGAATCATCTGCATTCAGCCTGGCAAAGGTCAGTGTAGTTGAGGTCTCCACCTTAGCAGGAAGGAGAGTCATTCATATTAGAATCAAGAGGTCCTGGGCTTGATTACAAGTCATCTCTTAAAAGTGGTTCAGATTATCCCCTCAGCCTCAAAATGGAATACTGAGCTTTAACCGTGGTGAGAAATAAGTTTACTAATGACAGGCACTAGTTAGGATAAAGGAAAATAAACAATAAAGTTCAGAGGCACAGATGATTAAGTAGATGATATGAACAGAAAGGGAAATAGCCATGAGCTGACAATTCTCCCTCTCCCATCTTCCTGGGTTTGGATGGCTTCTCATGCCCATCTTGGCTTTGTTGTCCTTCCACAGTTGGTGACTGGGGGCCATGACCTATCTCGTCTCCCTTAGTGTAACAGGTGGCCACACACCAGATGGGCACAGTGACTTGTGAGCTGCAGAGTGACAAGTGCGCTCTTTACAGGAGGCACGGTGTCTCCATCCTTGTCACGGACAAGCGCCTGCTTGGGCTGGACCATCCAGCTCCCCATGAAGAGGGCTGTCTCTGCTTTCTTGGGAATTCCGCCTTGCTTCAGAACGGGCTTGCAGCAGCTCTGACTTGAACTCGAACGCTCCCTAGCATCTGGGACTTCTGAATGCCTCCTCATCCCAGGTGCCGAATCCTACTTGTGCGGTGGGGACTCCTGATGAAGAGGCCATGGCTCCTGGAATTTGTTCCCCGTGAAGCTGGTTTTCGGGTGCTGCAGGCCTCTAAGCTGCGCCCAGTGCACAGCACACTCGTGCCGGCCCACCCGGACTGCAGCTGTGTCCTGTGCACCTTGGGGATCAGAAGCTTCTCCCTTCAGGTGCACGTAGGAGAGGTTGTTGCCGGGATGCTGAACCCAAAAGTATCACCCTCGCCTGTCTATTAACAAGCCAGGTGTAGTGGCTCACACCTGTAATCCCAGCACTTTGGGAGGCTGAGGTGAGAGGATTGCCTGAGTCTAAGGGGTTGAGATCAGCCTGGGTAACATAGTGAGACCTCGTCTCCACAGTCAATCAAAAAATTAGCTGGACATAGTGGCGCACTCGCACCTGTGGTTCCAGCTACTTGGAAGGCTGAGGTGGACGGATCACCTGAGCCCAGCAAGTCGAGGCTGCCGTGACCATGAGCGTGCCACTACACTCCAGCCTGGGTGACAGAGTGAGACGCCCACTCAAAAAAAAAGAAAAAAAGAGTTGACTGGGCCCAGTGGCTCAGCCTGTAATCCCAGCACTTTGGGAGGCCTAGGTGAGTGGATTGCCTGAACCCTCAGGTTCAAGACCCACCTGGGCAACTTGGCGAGACCTCATCTCTACAATAAACCAAAAAAATTAGCCGGGCTTGGTAGTGCACGCCCGTAATTCCGACTACTCGGAAGGTTGAGGCAGAAGTATCGCCAGAGCCCAGTAGGTTGAGGCTGCGGTGGCCGGGAACAGCCACTGCACTCCAGTCTGGGCGACTGAGTGAGACTCCAACTCAAAAAAAAAAAGAGTTAACAATAAAATATTTTAAAACTTAACCTGAAAAATGTTACTCTAAGAGAATTTGCAGTGAGAAGGACCTTTTTGATACAACCTTCCTCACAATGAAATAGGCTTCCTCGAGAACATGTTCCTGGAGATATTCTAGGCAGAGCCTTCCAGGGGAGCTTGGTAGAGGTAGGCAGAGGAGGACAGCCAGTCCCCAGCTCGAGACCCTCAGCTGGGATGGCTTTCCAGGTAGCAGACACCGACGGTTCTCAGCCCTCCAGCCAGGACAGGCAGGCTGCCACCTGTGAGGTCTTCACCACCGTGAGAGAGATTTGGGCATGTGTTGCGGATATCAAGGAGAGGCCCCGAGGAACGGGTGCAAGGTCCTTGCTCTATCACACGGCAGCCAGTGCAAGTGTCATCTCCACCAGGGCGCTGCTGCATTGCTCTTCATCGTAGCCAAAGCGAGAAGCCACCCTTCTGCGAAGTGTGGTCTCCCCCATCCAGCTGGCCTGTCCACAGGGACCCAAAGAGGGGGAGAAGGAAGGGAAACCCTGTGAGCAACTGCAGACTTACAGATGTCATTCTGCACCCACTGACTCTGTTCCCATGGGCTCTGGGACAGGACCGAGGCCGCGTAGGCCCATTGAGCACAGGGCTTGAGTAGTTTTCCCTAACCCTTGCAGTGCAGTCCTCAGGGCACTAACTGATAAATTGGAGATTTCTCACTGTCTTCAGGTGTGAGTCACTTAATGACTGTTAAATTCACTTACGGGGGCCAGCACAGTGACTCACCTGTCATCCCAGCACTTTGGGAGGCAGAGGTGAGAGGATTGCCTGAGTCCAGGGATTTGAGACCAGCCTGGGCAACTTGGTGAGACCTTGTCTCTACAATAAATCAAAAAATTAGCCAAGTGTGGCAGTGCGGCCCTGTAGTCCCAGCTACTTGCCTCAGGCAACTCTTCCTGCCCCAGCCTTCTAAGTAGCTGAGACTACTCATCCAGCCTGGGCGACAGACTTTGACTCAAAAATAAATAGATTCACTTACAGGGAACTGAAGAGTGATCTTTCTCAGGGAGAAGGGGACTAGCCTTGAGCTGTGGAAGGGGCTGTCTCCTGCCATGGGTGTGGCGTGCCTGGTGGGGACGCGTTTGAGATGTGCATGCTCTCCCGTGTGTGCGACACTCAGATGGAGATGTGTGCAGTGTCGAGGATGAGCCTCCTTTATCATTTTCAGCACCTCATCATTCTGGAAGTAAAACTATTTTCAGAATAGGACAGAGATTCATTCAAAATCTAAATTGGAGGCTTGAGGAACCATGACTTTGATGGATACTTAAAATTATTAAAGAATAAACAGGTTTCTTCTGACTTGGCATCTCCAGTGCTATGCTTCTCGTTGGCCTCAGCTGTCTGGGGCTGGGCAGGCTGCGTGATGGGAGGCTGGGGGCAGATGGCTCACTCTCAAGCAGCAGAGTTGCCAGGGGATCCATTCAGGCCGCTGCAGATGGAGACGTGGGCTTCCCTGGGGGGTGGGTGCCGTGTTACTGGTGTCCTGTTTCTCTGTTCATCCCAGGTGTTTCCTTTTGTTCCCAGGAAGCTAGTGCTGTGCCCGGTCCTCTGCTGACTGGAGGCAAACCTCTGCCTGCTTCAGAAGTTAAACTGCCCGAGAGGCCTTCAAGCAAAAGCAGAGATCCGCCAAGAGAAGAAGAGAGAGAAAAGAAAAAGAAAAAGCACAAAAAAAGATCTCGAACGAGGTCGCGCTCTCCCAAGTACCACTCGTCCTCCAAGTCCAGGTCTCGGTCACACTCAAAAGCAAAGCATTCTCTTCCCAGTGCCTATCGGACAGTACGGCGGTCGAGGTGGGTATGCAGGCATGCCCTCCGCACCTTTGTCCTTGTATCTCCCCTAATGCCTAGTAGAGCCAGGTGGACAGTTGGAAATAGGCACGGCTTCCACTAAGCAAATGTGTGTGAGTGCTTTCTTAAATATTTGTTTTATACTTAACTTTTCAAACCTCATTAACTACTGCCAGGCTAAAAAAAACGATCTGTTTAAAGTTTAACAGGTCCTGGAGGTGAGCCTCATGCATGTGCTAAGTGTGAGAAATGCACAGGGGGGTGTGCTGGGGCCGTGTGTGTGTGTGTCTGAATGGACTGTCCCACGCTGACTTCTTTCGAGTATGTAAATGCCCAAGACTGAGGACCCTTTGCCACCTGCTCTGCATTTGACTGTCTCACACAGCACCTGCAGGTGCATAAACACGGGTGTGACAGGTGTGGCTGCTCATGCCCCAGCTTGCCTCATAACCTCCTCCTGGGGCCACTGTTCTGCCAGAAGCCCTCCTCTGGTCCAGTCAGGGAGGAGGCACTCAGCATTTCTGACAGCAGAAGTAGTAAACATGAGCACATGCAAGGGTCTTGGAATTGACTGCCTAGTAAAACCGCTTTTAGCAAACAAAACAGTGGTTAGCTTGCAGGAAATTCAGAAAAGCAAGGCACACCCTTTTTCCAGGCCTCTCATCACCGTGGGCATGTCACTGCGTGTCACATGGCCTCCCCTATGTCTCTTCACTGCAGCGCCTGTGTCGCTGTGCTCTTATCTTCCTTCCAGCACTGATGCAGCTTGTACCTTCCATGGGGATGTGCAGGTGCCCACTGCACTTCATGTTTTTAAAGTACAGCTTGACACTTGAGTCTCTGAGTGTGTTCTGCAAACAACATGCTTTCCTTATTTTCACCCACACCAGCCCTTAAAGGTTTGCCTGGCTTTCACGCTTATTCTCTGCAGTGAAATTGGATTTGCCTCCATGATAAAAAAAATGTGGTCCTTCACTCCGTGTTTTTGCTAGCTTTTTAGAAGTTTCATCACTTTCTACCTTTATGAACATTAAAAACCTTGCTGTTTTGAATTAAATTAACAATTTAGCTGACATTTTCAGTTTTTGAAGGCTCCCACCAATTTGTATTATGCATCGATTATTTTTAAATTTCTCATTTGAAAAAGTTTCTTATGACATTATGTAGCTGAAGATGAATAACAGGCCTGAACACACCCTCCTAGTTAACCATATTCAGGAAAATTCCGGACAAAAGGAAATGCAACTCCTCTGAGTCCTCAGCCAGGGCAGCTAGTCTGTCAAGGCCAGTTGGGGCATGTCTTCATCGTAAGAAGTTCTTTCTGCTTTCCTGCTGTAGCTGAGCAGATGCGGGAGAGCCTGGCACCTGGTGTCCGGTGCACTCCGTCCAGTTTTAAGGAAAGTTGTGTGATGGCCAGAGACTTCCCCAGATTTTTATGTTCAGAGCCAAAAGTGTGTTCCTCCAACACTTGGAACTTTCAGGTTCTGAGTTTTAGATCCTTTGGTGACTAATCTATAATAGAATATGTCATTTTGTATATTATTTTATCTTTTTAAATAATTTAAAGTATATTTAGATTTACATGTTTTATGTGCAAATACATATTTTATATTTTCATATATTTCAGTGCTGACAAGTCTAAGAAGCAAAATCCTTCTCTTTAGTTAATAATGTTTGGTTAAACGAAAAAATGAGTTAAAAATCATCTGAATGTGGACTGTTATGATGGTAGGCTACCCCTTTTATCTTAGTTTGGCCTGTGCTTAAATACTTCACAATATCTACAGAGCAAGGTTTTTTCTCCAAACTTGTAATTAATCTCAGTGGCTGAAATTGTATCTACATGATACTTTTTGTTGGTCTCAGTTAAATAACTGATTTTTTGTTCACTAAATCAGATCTTTGACTTCTTGTTTTTGATTTTGCAGATTAGATAAAATGTCAAGGCAAAGTACAATTTTACTAATAAAACAAGAACAATAATACTATAGAACAGAACCTTCCAGGTGTTAGACTGTCCAGCAGTTCTGCCCTGAGCACTGGCCTCCGGCGACAGTGCTCCTCCTTGGGGCAGAGATCAGCTGCTCAGGAGGCCAAGGAGGGAGGATCCCCTAAGCCCAGGAATTCGAGTTTAGGCTGGGCAATATAGTAAGACCTCGTCTCTGTTTTTTAAAATAATAATAATTAAGCTGGTAGTCTCATGCCTTAACCTTTTCTTGTAGAATTCTGCCTCAGCTTTTCTGAGAATAGTGAGTTTTATTGGGCAGGATTGCGTTTTCTAAACTATTTTGTAGATCTGACTACTTCCCTACTCTAAGCTTTGCCAGCTCTAATCATTTCCAGGGATCCATGTGGATTGAAAATGCAACCTTTATAACTGGGAGGGGATAGTGTTCTCAGTAATATGAATTATCGAAGTGTTTAAAAAATTACATTTTAGGCTGGACATGAAGGCTGATGCTTATAATCCCATGCTTTAGAAGGCCAAGGTAGGAGGATCCCTTGAGGCCAGGAATTCAAGGCTTCAGTGAGCTATGATTGTACCACTGCACTCCAGCCTGGGTGACAGAGTAAAACCCTATCTCTAAAAAAATAATAATAATTAAATTTTAACCAAAATATTGAAAGTGTGAACGCTGTTGCCTTTAACTGTCCCTCCTTTCAGATAGAGTAGCCCATTATAGACACACTGTGTACATAGGGCTTGCTTCCAGGACCTGCCAAGACTCATCGACCGTGTCCAGTGACGTTGCCAGCCCAGAGTAATGTAGCGCAGCAGCTCATGTTTCCAGTTGTGGTAGGGGAGCTACATGGAATGTATTTCCATATTAAATTACTAAAATTCTCTGTAAACCGTAGGAAGTGAGGGTTAGAATGCCCTTCCTGGGGTTGGAGCCCCATTTGTTCAGCGCATCTAAATTGTAGGTGTCGCTGCATCTGCAAAGGTGAGTTAGTCACAGAAAAGTCATTAGTTTGGGAAAGTCATTCAGTTGCTTCTGGAAAGGCATACTGATGATGACGAGGTAGCAGTTAGTGTCTTTGTCAGCACTGATTAAAGTATAGGACTTGCTCTCGTGTTGTTTTCTGTTTTCATGGGTGTTTGTATATCACATCAGGTTTTCTTAATGGGATGAAGTAGTGCCTGTGCAGTTTATTTACTGCCTGCAATTAAAATGTAATTGTAATGGCTTGGGTATTTTTTAACTAAACTTATAAGTCTAAAGCTTGAAACTAAGCTTGTTCTTAAAACGTTTGGTAAAATGACCTCTGATGTTGAATCAGGTATCTAAATGTATGTTTAGGATCAGCCTAGCCTTGGGGTGGTTCTAGATAGATCTTTTAATTTTATCCTTTTAGGACATCTTGCATTGTGGAGAATTTATATAATAAAGATATATGTCTGACCAGGCACGGTAGCTCAGCCTGTAATCCCAGCACTTTGGGAGGCCAAGGCGAGAAGATTGCCTGAGCACGAGGGTTCTAGACCAGCCTGGGCAACTTAGCGAGACCTCGTCTCTGCAATAAATTACACACAAAAAAAATAAGCCAGGTGTGGTAGCATGTGTCTGTAGTTCCAGCTACTTGGAAGGCTGAGGTAGGAGGATCGCCTAGGTCCAGCAGGTCGAGGCTGCGATGGCCGTGAGCAGCCTGGGTGACAAGAGTGAGACTCCAACTCAAAAAAAAAAAAAAAAAAGATTTATATCTTTGTAGAAATAAGCTCCCTAAGGACTTGAGGTGGTGGGAGGGGAGACTGGGGGTTAATATGACTTTTATTAAAGAGTATGATTTAACATTCAGAAAGTACTCAAGCAGGCAGAATTGGGATTATATTCTCATTCGAAACATGTGAGTCCTCACTGTCCTTTTTTTCCCATGATAGACTGCATAGCAAGCCACTGAAAGTAATTCATTCCACCTCTGACTCTCGTTTCTCAAAGGAGGACACATGAGGCTCCACATTCCCTGTGTGGCCATGTTTATCATGTGGAGGGGAGGGCAAGTGTCCACATGTCACACGGGGGGTCTGTGAGTTGTAGCCAAACCCAGACAGCCTCGGGGCATCTACATGTGGCCATGTAGGAAAGAGAAGCCACCCCTGCAGGCCACTGGCGAACTCGGGACCTGAGGAGAGTCCGGAGGTGGAATCCGGCCCGGTTTAAACCAAAGAGTGGTTCGGGAGAGGAGCCTGCAGGTGGCCCCAGTTGGGGCAGCTGAAAGGCTTGTGGGGGTGAGGGGAGGGAGGCCAGGAAACAGTCACATGTTGGTGAAAAGAATCTATTTATAGTTTTGATCGCTGTCATGCGATGAAGTTTCTGGAGTTTATCATTGAAAGAGTTCTCATTGTGCCTTTATTTGAAAGCACACTGTTAAGATTCTTTAGGAAAAAAGATGATCTGAACTGCATTAAGCTAGAAAGCTTTTATTTCAGACAGTGTCACCCTGAGGAAAGCCTTCACACATGGTGCCCTGATGGCCTAGAGCTCCTGTGGCCTGCACTGTCAGCATGTCCACAAGAAGAGTCTAACAATAAAAAGCGTTAGAGCTTCTTTAATTAAAGTAGAACTTAAAGAAGTATCTATGGTATACTACCCCTGATTCTGAGATAGGCTTTTCCCAGATAATCTGAAATCTCCTGACACCAGCCACTTCACTTTAAAGAATCTAATACTAATAGCCACTACAAAATGGTATTGTGTTTCAAAGTTACGGATTTGCAGGCATTAAAAACTAACTTATTTTTCCTGATTATTGAGTTTATTATAGAAATCTACATTTAAGCAACCGTAGGTGCTATGGCTTTGATTAAGCAGAGCTTTTTACAGGGTTCTGGTAGCGCCCAGCCCAGCACCTATTATTCTGAATGTGAAGTGTGTGCCTCCGTGTCACAGAGCCACAGCCTCCTCAGGGACACTGAGCACGGAGCCCTGTCAGAGCAGCTCATCAGTGGCCGCAGCAGCAGAGCAAGGAAGTTATCAGGCAGCCTCGACCACCAACAGATTTGCCACCTGGAGCTCTTTTGAGGGAAAACCTGGTAAAATGTCAAGGTGTCTACCTGACCTCGCCTTTGTAATCTGTATATAAATCTCAGGACAGGTCTGGAAAAAAATCAGAACCATTTTGCTAGTTGAAAGGCAGCGGGGCCGGAGGAGACCCTGGAGCCGGCTCTGGCCGGCCCTGGCATGGCACCCGCAGCCAGGCTGCGTCTCGGGCCACCCAGGCTCCCCAGGACAGCAGAAGCCGTGCTGCGTCTTGGGCCACCCGGGCTCCCCAGGACAGCGGAGCATGAGTGGGCATGGGCCGGTCTGTACAGCACAGCCTGTGTGGCTTGTTGGGTTTTGTTGTAATTAAGATGATTCAGAATAGAACTTTTTTAAATGGCAAAATCAGACTGCTCTTCCTTATATTGTTTTTTGAATAGGTTGTCATGGAAACCTAATGGAAAGAAATGGTATTTTTTTTCCAGATTTCTGCTCTTTGCAGGTCTTCCCAAAATAGTAACTTTACTGAATGAACAAAGAGCTGAAATGAAAGTCCTAAGCCTCGTGGTTAAGGGACCCTGCCTCAGGACCTTGGCCCCAGCTGGGCGAGGCCTCCGGGCCCTGTGGCCTTGCGTGGCTTACGTCCCTGCGTGGAGAGAATAGTCTTGGGCGCATAGAAAGGAAGAGTACATGTTAATGGGTGGGTCGCCTTCGTGAAATTTACAAACTTCAGTCACTGAGCCTAAACTGCTGTGAGAGTGGCGTGTTCTGAATCAGATTGAAGGGTTGGGCTTCATGCCAGCACCCCCACAGCCCTTCCTTGACCAGCCATGCTACGAGGCCGTGCGTGTGAGCAAGAGAAGCTTCCGGGTAGTCCTCCAGCTCCATGACCTTTTAGTTTTTTCTCTTGCTGGTGTTCAGACAAGCAGACAGGACTCCCTGGGCTTTCACTGCCTTTTCTTGCCTGATGCTGGTCGAAATGCCAATGAGCCAAAGTTCCTAGGGGACACGTGGGCAGAGAGGCAAGAGGAAGGGAGGGAAACAGTGGCCAGAGGTGGCCGCGACTGCAGTCAGGCCTCCCTAGGGAGCGTTGGTTGCTGGTGACCACTACAAGGAGCAGTGCATAGCCCCAGCCTCCTCGTCGGTCAGGCATTGGTTGAGAGCTTACCTTGCTGCACCGAGTGCGTGGAGGGAGAGGGCGCCCATCTCCGCCTCTGAGACGGGGTTCGGTATGGGGAGAGCAGGAGGCTGGGGGGACCCTGTGCCTGCACCGTGCTGGCCAGTGCCCTGCAGCTTCTGCAGACAGGCTGACCCCTGCCTTGGTGGTTGGAAGGGTGGCATGTCCTGCATCCGATGGCAGGGCTCACCCCGCATCCTCTTCTGTCCAGGTCCCGCTCCCGGTCCCCTCGGAGGAGAGCCCACTCCCCTGAGAGGCGGAGGGAGGAGAGAAGCGTCCCCACCGCCTACCGCATGAGTAGCCCCGGGGCCAGCAGGAAGCGGACACGCTCCAGGTAGGCTGCTGGGTACGTAAGCACTGGGCACGGGCTCCTGGGGTCCCTGGGCAGGAAGGGCGTCGGAAGGCGATGTGCGCTTTGGTGAGCAGAGAGCAGCTGACCGCAGTGGGGCACGGAGTTCCTCAGTGGCACAGCCATCATCCAGATACTTGAGCACACCCGGCAACTGCCAGGCTGGATGTGGGATGCTCCCTTTCAGGCAGAGGGTTGCCTGCCCCCGGGGTCACACCGCGTCTTCTCCCGCTGGGGCCGTGCACAGCCGGCTTCAGGTTCACATGCGCCACTGTCCCCTGGCAACTGCCAGGCTGGATTCAGGGTACTGCCCTGTGCCCGCCCCCAGAGTCATAATGCATCCCCTCCCACAGGAGCTATGCATAGCCGGCCTTGGGTTCACATGCACTGCTGCCCCTCTGCCTGCTGGTTGGGGAGAGGACACGCAGCACAAACAGAAGGAAAGACAGCGTCACCCTTGAGCCTCCTGCCTCAAGGAAAATCACTGTGGTTGCCTGGGTGCTGTGAAATGGTGACCTCAGCCCAGAGATCCCAGGGGAGGACTACAGGGTCCAGTGGGCTCGGGAGAGCAGGGAGGGGCCCATGCTCTGATCTTGGGACCCCTGGTGGAGTATGTGGCAGTTGTCACTGGAGAGCCGGCACGGTTGGCTTCTACATGTGTCAGATGCAAGCCCCGCATGGTGCCTGTCTGGGCCTCTGGCAGCCCTGGGCCATGACTCTCTGCTCGCCTGAGCCCGGCACTCGTGGCTCCACTTCCAGCTTTGGGAAATACATCTGCAGTCTGTCCCCTCGGGAAATGCCTTGGCTTCCAGGAGCTCAGGACAGCTACCTCTCTGGTGCCACCAGCGGCACCGCCCTCTGGGAATGGGGGTGCCTCCCCCAGTCCTCCTGGCTGACATTGCAACCTGATGCCTGGTGCTGGTTGGCGGTGTATTACTGGTCTCTCTGAGTGTGAGGGCTCTCATTTTGTGGGGGTTATGCAGACTCCCGGCTAGCACACAAACAGGGAACGCTGCTGCCTGTGAGTGTGGAGGACACAGAAAAGGCCAGACGGAGCTGTGTGCACCACAGCCTCGAATGTCACAACAGTGCTGCTGACAGAACCTTCTAGAGGACAGGTCTTGCGTCTCCATAGTGAAGCATACACCTAGGGGCGTCCTGCTCCTTGGAAGGCAGTGCCCACAGGCTGAGTGGCTGCCCGAGGACACCCCTGACCCAGTGCCTTGACAGCCAGACCGTGTAGTTGGGGCTGCCAGTCACACGATTGTTCTGTTCATTGGTCAAATGGGATCTCTCCTTAAAGCTGAAAAATCAGCAAAGGAACTGCAGAACCGAGGGCCGCCAGCACATGTCTCCTGCTCGGCTCACTGTGAGTTTCACCCTGTGCCTTAGGAGTCCCTCGTGCAAGGCGATGGAAGCTGAAGTCAGGATGGGGTGTGCTCCTCAGCACTCCAGAAGCCATCGCCCACTTTGGTGTATGTGAAGGCCAGGGCGACATTAACTCCTCTAGCAAAGCATCACTCTTACAGAGGAGCTCTGGCCTTGCCCTCAAGTTAACCTTTGTATTTAAAGAAAGATCTTGGGAAGATGGTCATCGTGTCAGCAGTCGGCCCCGCCCTGGCAGGCTCGGGCATCACACTTGTGTGGTCTCTGACATCACCGCTGGCACTTTTTAAATTTTAATTTAATTTAATTTTTTTGACTTGGAGTCTCACTCTGTCACCCAGGCTGGAGTGCAGTGGCACACTCACGGCCACCGCAGCCTTGAACCGCTGGGCTCAGATGATCCTTCCACCTCAACTTCCCCGAGTAGCTGGAACTACAGGTGTGAGCCACCACATCTGGCTTATTGATTTAATTGTTTATTTGTTTGTATTTTGAGTTGGAGTCTCACTCTTATCGACCTACTGGGCTTAGGTGATCCTTCTGCCTCAGCCTTCCAAGTAGCTGGAACCACAGACATACACCACTATGCCCAGCTAATTTTTGTGATTTATTGTAGAGACAGGGTCTCGCCAAGTTGTCCAAACTGGTCTCGAACCGCCAGGCCCAGGCAGTTCTCTCATCTTGGCCTCCCAAAGTGTTGGGATTACAGGCTGAGCCACCGTACCTGTCCTGTTTATCTTATTCTGAGTTGGAATCTCACTCTATCGCCCAGGCTGTAGTGTAGTGTGCAGTCATGTGTACTGCAGCCTCAACCTATTGGGCTCAGGCAATCCTTCCACCTCAACTTCTTGAGTAGCTGAAACAATAGCCCCGTGCCACCACACCATCCCTGGCTAATTTATTTACTGTAGAGATGAGGTCTCACCATGTTACCCAGGCTGGTCTTGAACCCTTGGCCTCAGGCAATCCTCTTGCCTCCACGCCTGGCTCACCACTGGAATGAGTCCTGCAAAAGAGGTTGAGATTTAGAGACTACAATGCAAACTGTCCTGCCCAAGTAGGTGGAATTAAACCCATAGCCTCACTGTACAGAGTGGAAGCTGTGACGAGTCCACCAGGTGCTGGAGGGGTGCATATGTGTACAATTACTAGCTGATTCTATGATCTTAACTATAAACCCAGAGTTAATCTTTAAAGCTGAAATATGTTTTATTAGCAATCAAATTATGTTACTCCTGCAGTCAGACTGTCCCTCCATCCTTCTGCCCAAGAGTGGGTACAGGGCTCTTTGCCGTGCAGTGACATATAACTAATTCATCTATCACATCATTGTCACTTTACCCCTGTAACATCCCCAGGCCAGGGAGTGCACTTGATTGGAAGGGTTGGTTCTACAATCTCGTTACTTGCTTCTTTCACTGCTTCTTCATTTGAACTTTCTGTAACTTACAGAACAGTTTTTAACTTTTTGCACTCAGATGTCCCTTCTCAGGGAACGTAAAGAAATTGCTGTGATTATACAGGACAAACTTATGCCAGCACAAATTTTTCAAAAATGTATGTTTCCTTGAAGTTTTCCATTCAAATTGCACAAAAAAGCAAATAAAGAGGTGGAATGCATACTGAGATATACATTTAAAAATCAGCTGGCGTCATGTAGAAAGAGAACATGTGAGGTACTTTCACAGAGGTGCACAACCTGGACAGTAATTTACACTTTTTTTTTCTAAGCTGGAGGGCATTGATTGGCACACTCATAGTCACCCCAGCGTCAACTTGCTGAACTCAGGCAATCCTTCCACCTCAGCCTTCCAAATAGCCGGAACTACAGGCATGTGCTACCATGCCCGGCTAATTTTTGTGATTTATTGTAGAGATGAGGTCTTGCCAAGTTGCCCGGGCTGTTCTTGAACTCGTGGGCTCAGGCAGTCCTCTCACCTCGGCCTCCTGGTATTGCAGGCTTGAGCCACTGCGCTTGGCCTAAATTACACATTATTAACATGGGAGGAAAAAAACGAGACTGCGTTGTCTATCCCAATAGAAAAACACCAGGTGGAAGACGTCAGGCAAATTCCTGTGACACAGCATGTGTCACTGAACCTGCAGTGCATGTCGGTGACTGTTTCACACGTTAGAAAAATATATAAAATTTTAATATTTTGTCATGAATAAGTTCCTCAATATCCAAAATCTCATTAGAAGTCAAATATCATTACAATAAAATAATTGGTTCCGGCGCTATACTATTTAATACTATTTAATATTTAATAAAAAGTGCGGTTGAGGTGCTGGTAGCTGATCCATGAGTTGTCTCTAAGTGCAGAGAGTTAAAGTACGATGGCCAAGGCTTGGTGGCACCCACTTGTAGTCCCAGCTGAGGCAGGAGGATCACTTGAGCCCAGGAGATGGAAGCAGCAAGGATCCATGAGTGTACCACTGCACTCTAGCCTGGGCAACAGAACAAGACCCTGTCTCTTAAAAAAAAAAAAATTGTGTCGTGAGTACTATATGCACATGATCCGAAGCTCAGTTGGATACAAGTGACAGTTTGCTGCTTCAGCCGTCTCTCTCGACCCCTTCCTTCTTCCTACCCTCCCTCACATGTGTATTTCATCTTTGATGTTTTTGAAGCATCCAGGTTGGCTGTACATCCCACAGTCTGAATGTGTCTTACTGTATCCTCGTGGCTAGGTCCGTGTTCAGTATTTTGGCAAGAAGACTCTGTCGCAGATGTTGTGTGACATCACTGCATCTCATCAGGAGACCCAGAACTGTCTGTCTGTCCCTCCGTGCATGATACTGAGTGTGATCGCACCCTGAGGGCCACCCATCCCTCCCCTCCTCTTGCCAAGTGGGTGGGCGTGCTGTGAGGCAGCCTGTCTCTGCCTGCTGCAATCTCTGTGGCCACATCCGTGGATGACCCTGCCGCCACTCCTTCCACTGTCTGTCACAGAACACTGTCTGATTCCATCCTTCCTGGTGTTTATTGACGTTAGTCCGCTCTGAAGAAGAGCCCTCGCCCTTTGTCTTACTGTCACTGTGGGCTCAGGTTTTTTTGTTTTGTTTTGTTTTTCTTATTTGTTGTGCAGTGATCCATTGCCATTTTTATACTGTTGGATGGCAACATTGTCCCCAGTTCAGCCAGTGGGAGCTCTTTCACGCCAGCTCTGTGTTCTTTTGACACATCCCATCATTCTTGGCATACTTGCTTGCTTTTTGGCACTGATGTTTTCGCTTACCTGGTGCTTTCCGCACCCCAGCCAGTGTCTGCCTGCCACTTCTGCAGAGTTCCTTTAGTGAATATTTGGAAAGCAAGATCTCGGTATATTGATTTTATTTTATTTTTTTAGTCAGAGTCTCACTCTGTTGCCCAGGCTGGAGTGTAGTGGCACTGTCACAACTCACTGCAGCCTCAACCTCCTGGGCTCAAGTGATCCTCCCCTTTCAGCCTCCTGAGTAGCTGGGAGTACAGGCTCGCACCACCATGCCTAGCTAATTCTTTTTATTTTTTGTAGAGACCAGATCTCACTGTGTTGCTGAGGCTGGTCTTGAACTCGGGGGTTCAAGCAGCCCTCTTGCCTTAGCCTCCCAAAGCACTG